CTATTTCATCAAAGAATTTGTACTTTTCACCAAAGATGGTCATTCTCTTTATTTCCACCCACTGCTTAACCATATGAAAAAGCCCATTCATGGCTCAGAAACAATTCCACTGTAAAACTCCTTCATTTTTAATGTTCTTAAAGGTTAAGAAACCTATCTTTTTTTAATAATGACTTGGTTGTTAGGGTTTCTTACGGTATAGCTTTAAAGATAATTTCTGTCCAAGGTTGTTTTTGTAGATTTGGCAACAAGTCTTCATAAAATTCCTGTGAATGGAAGTAGGAGAGAATGAGAGATCAAAGAGTAGGGCTTAGGAGGAGCATTGATCCAGCCCTAGTATAGAGTCTGACGTGGGAAGGAGAGGGGGAGATTTTTAAGAAGCTTATTTCTACCCCTTCCCCAGCTAAGCTGTGCTTCTGCTGCCTGTACCTTAGCACTGTGGTTAATAGTGGGTGACTAGACAGGGATGAGGGCCTAAAAACCTGTATCATGGTGTCCATGGGGTTCAGAATCCTAGGATTCGCACCTGGATATTCTCTTTTGTGAAGAGTTTACCTTGGCACTGAGTTGGAGAGTTCTCTTTTAAAATGTATTACAGACATGCTAAGCAAAATTAGTTCCACATCACTTGGTTAAGGTGGATAAGTTTCCTATTCATGTTCAGAATTAGCATAGACAATAATCACCCCTGTGATTTTGTTTAGCCTGCCTGTTGGGAATCTAAGTCTTACAGGATATGATTTCCTTCCCCCCACCTAGAAGGTACCAAGCCTTATAGTTGAATGTGAGGGAATCCATTTATAGTTCCAGCTTAGATTCTTCCATAAATTGGATCAGGTCAACCTTTCCTAGGTAAATTTTTAGCTCACTTGTGATCCAAGAAAAGTTCATCTTCATGGTTTCTTTCTCTTCCTATTAAAACCATGCCATTGTCAGCACTTCCATCTGAAAGTGCCCCCAGTATTTAGATTGTTTTCTCTTTTTCCTCATTAAATTAGACCTGATCAGTCCTATATCATCTTCTTAGATACTGGGCCCTTCAAAGATTCCCAAGTGATAAAATGATCTAATAAGTAATTATGCTTCAAACCCAAATCATCCTTTTCCATTTTTCCAGCAATAGGAGTCAGGTGCATGACAAACAGGAGGCCCTCAGTGAATAACAGACCAGATGATACTATAGTATAATCAAGTGGCGCACCCCACTCTCCCAGTCATCCCTACCATAGGCATATGTTCCTGGGTATGGATGTACAAGACAGTGTTATGTCTGTTTTAAATTTATATAAGTGGAATTGTGCTAAGAATACAATTACAACTTTTCACTCAACACATATTAATATCCGTGCATGCCATTGTCCATTTGATTGCTCCCAACTGATGCACGGTATTCCACAGTAAAAGCATTTATCAGGTTTCTACTTGTTATTAGAGTTCGTAGTGGGTTATGAACCTAGGTTGCTGCCAGCACTGCTCTGCAGCAAGCAACACTATAACCAACCTTGCAAGTGTTACCCTCCTTTCCTGAGAGAGATTTCCTCTGGAGTAGACAGAGCAGTGGGATTTGGGGCTCACAGGACATGTTTAATTTCACTAACTAGTGTCAGATTAGTCTAGAGAATGGTTGTATTAGTTTAACACTCAACAGTAGTACATGTGGGTTCCAATTTTACCACATCCTTTTAACTTGGACTTCTTTTCTTTAGTCACTTGGGTTTTCTCTCTCATATATGCTTAAACATAGTTCTTGTTCCTTTTTTCTAATGAGTTTCCTGTCTTTCTTGTTGATTTTCAAGAGTTTTTTATGTATTCTAGCTATCAATTCATTTTCTTAGCCACAGTAAACCCCTCTACCAGCCTGCCACTTTTCTGTTAACATTGTCTGTGATATCCTTAATTTTTATGTAGGTAGGTCCATTGAAATTTTCACCTTAAGATTTGCATTTTTGAGTCCTAATGAATAGAAAGATCAGTGGAGCAGACTAGGAAATTCAGAAATAGAATCTAAGACATAAATATTTAGTATAATATAACATTTAGCATTTCAAGACAGTGGAAAGATGAATTTTTCAATGTTTGGCATTTGAGTAATTAGGAAACTTTCTAGGCTTAGGGATAGGGAAGTAAGTCTCTACACTAAAATAAATTCAAGTTGGATCAGATATTTAAATATGAAAAGTGAAACCATGAAAATGCTCTCTCCACAGTGAACTTCCCATGGAATTCTATATTTTCAGTTCCTGGGAACTAGGACTCAGGAGCCCGGCCTTTGCTTGTTCTTTTTATCTGTTTGGGGTGCCAATCGCAGTTTGTTTAATTAACAGCCTCCTTAAATCTGAAACATCTTGTAGGGCTTAGCCTAGTTGTCACCTTTCTGCGAAGCCTCTGAACCCTCTCAGGAAGCTTTGCACACCTTCCTCTGTGCTGCCATTGTCCCTACGATGGCACTGACTACAGTTTACACAGTCGTTTTCCATTACAGTTGGCCCCATGTGGCAGAATTAATTACCTAGAATTTACCCAGTGTGAAGCAGGAAAACAAGTAATCAAAAGAGTATGCTTAGTCTAGAAAGGAAGCTAGCGCTCAAATTGAAGCAAATACTGATTAATTGCATGAAACTTTGATTCTGAAGCCTATGGGAGTGGGTGAAAGTTGATTGCTTTTAGGAGAGTGGTGACCTCAAAGTGGTATTTCAAGATTAATCCAGCAGAAGAATAAAGGAAAAGTACAGAGAAGAGTGAAAATTCGAGGAGATCTAGATGGCTATCTCAGTAATGTAGACATGTGGTATAATGGTGCTGAATTGGTGGCACTAGAAAAGGAGTGGATACAACTGACATTGCACCAGAAGAAGCAACAGGGCTTTGTAGCTGGTTGATTGTGAGTGGGAGGATAAGGGAGGAGTCAAAGATGGCTTTGTGTGTGGAAGCTGACAGCCACTGTGCCTGTGGGCAGATCTTTGCCTAACATAATTCAGCCTTGGGGTTTGGCCAAACCAGAATTTTCAGGTGAATGATGGAAAGACTTAGTTATTTGGGCTGCTCTGTAGACCTGATTGTGGCTACTTGGAACTTAGATGGAGTGAGGTGATGGTGGAAGGAGGGCTTTATGCATACCATCCAGGTCATTCCAAGTCTTTCAGGAATGTCCAGGGGAAGATGAAAAAGAAGAGCTGCATTCATTCCTTTCTTGGCTTCAGTGTACTCACTTCAGAGGGTTCACTGATCTCACTAACCTCAGCCCCACCTGATCCCCCAGCACCTTCAGATTGGACAGCTGCTGCCTCCTGACCAGCCATGCTTGGGAGATGTAGATTTACTAAGACTGTAGATCTCTTGTCACCTTCTCTTATTCTCTTTGCTCAATGGATAAACCAGGCTTTACCCCCTCCCCCCAACCCCCAACAAAAAAAAGATGTTTCTGGTAAATAATGAGAAATAAACACAGGAAGTAGAAGAGAATAAATAGAAAAACACACGTGTGTGACTCACATTTCTGCTCCTGTTGTGTTAGGTTTGTCATGACTTCTTAGTGATACTTGTTCTGCTCTCCTGGTAAAAGTCAGTTTCTTCATCTGTGTCTGACCCGAGTCCCACTTTTTACAATGTGCACTGTTTGCAGACCCAGAGAGTTATTCCTTGAGACTAAATATTTAAAGTGGTAATGACCTTCATAGTCTCACAGCTGTGGTCACTGCTGTCAGACCCGTCTGCTCCTTGTCCCCTGCTTCTTTTTCTCATCACATTCCCTTTCCAGGGCAGAGCAGAGAAGAAGGCTGCTTCCTTGCCCTTCCTTTTCAGAAAACTCTGCTCTCTCCACAGTGGACCTCTCATAGAATTCTATATTTTGAGTTCCTGGAAACTAGGACTTGGGAGCCCCTAGTTCTCCACTCCTTAAACAGCGGTTCTCAACCTGTGGGTCACGACCCCTTTGGCGGTCGAACGACCCTTTCACAGGGGTCGCCTAAGACCATCCTGCATATCAGATATTTACATTACGATTCATAACAGTAGCAACATTACAGTTATGAAGTAGCAACGAAAATAATTTTATGGTTGGGTCACAACATGAGGAACTGTATTTAAAGGGCCAGAAGGTTGAGAACCACTGTTTTACAGCGTCAGAATAGCTTTTAAAATTATAGAAACACAAGAAAATGGTGTGCTCTTAAATGGTGTGGTAAATTACCGCCCTCCAACCACACTGTGAGGGCCTTAGAGTGTGGCTCTGACTGCACAGACCTGTAGCCAAGCTCCAAACCCTTTCCCACCCATTAGGTGGTTCCACCGGGTTCCTTCATTGTGTAGGTGAATGGGTATTCACTTCCCTGTGTTTCATCTCACTGTTGTGTGGGGGAAAGACTTACTGTCCCTCAACCCCCTACTTTCCTTGGAGCAATGATTTACTTAATCTAGGAATGAATTAGAGCTGAGTCAGTGCGAAGGAATCTACAGACCAGAAGGAATCTAAACATTGGCTTGTCCTCTCTGCGTTTGTCTTCCCACTTTTCTTGGGCTGAAGCTAATCACAGGTCCCAAGGATGTAGCAGTGATATCCTCATCTGTATTTGCCTTGCTTTGTCACCAGCCACTGTCACCAGTGTCACTGTCTCTTTTATGTCCACTGTGTGTGTGATGTGTATCTGTGTGTATTCTAGATTCATTACAGGCATTTGACTTACTAGACTGAACACTGTGGTGAGTTTCACCAAGGATCTTAACTTCTGAGTTGCATATTATTGGCTGTGTAGGTGGCTTATATAAAGTCTGTGTATTGCTTAGGCTTTCTTATTAGTAAACAAATTTTAAACTTTTAACATTTTCTTAAGTCTTTTTTTTTTTTTTTACCATTGGGAATAATGGCAACTTATAGAAAGTATATATGCTCAGAATGTTCTGTTCCCTAGCATTGCTCTTAAATTGCCATGTGACTTGTGCTGATACATCTGAAAAAAAGTGATGAGAAATAGAGTAGGGAATAGTTTCTTTTTTAATCTGTTCTAATGTTTTCAGGGTTTCTCTGAGAAGATTTCACAGTGGTCTTAAATGACAAGGTCCTCCTAAAGGTATACAGTACTGAATGGGCTTTCTCCATAATTAGTCATATTTTTATTAAAAGTTAATACACATATGAGCACAATCCCATATGCACACATACACACACTAAATTGTACCAATGGTTATTTTACCTCACGTACCCCTCAGTATCCTTATAGAGGCTCATAAGGCGTCCTGGCAGTATTTTCAGTTTAGTTCACTTGCCATAGTATCAGGTCATATGTAATCCACAGGAGGCTTTTTTTCTATTAGTCTTCTTTGGTCTTCTAGAAGGTTTTGTTGAAATCAATTGTCTGTTGTTCAGAGGCTGAATTGATCTTCTATTAAAAGAGTCAGAGGACTATTCAATAAATAGTGTTGGGAAAATTGGAAAGATATGTGCAAAAAGTGAAACTAGATCACCTTCTTATACCATACACAAGAATAAACTCAAATGGATTAAAACTTAAATGTTATACTTGGAACCATAAAAATCCTAAGAGAAAACATAGGCAGTAAAATCTTGGGACATTTCTCATAGCAATATTTTTTCTGATATATCTCCTTGGGCAAGGGAAAAAAAGAAAAAATAAACAAATGGAACTACATCAAACTAAAAAGTTTTGCACAGCAAAGGAAACCATCAAAAAAATGAAAAGACAACACACTGAATGGGAGAATATATTCACCAATACATTTGATAAGGACTTACTATCCAAAATTTGTAAGGAACTTATAAACTCAACACTGAAAAAAAGATCCAAATAATCCAATTAAGAAATGGGCAAATGACCTGAATGGACACTTCTCCAAAGAAGACATACAGATGGCCAATAGACATATGAAAGGATGCTCTTCATTACTAATCATCAGAAAATGCAAATTAAGACCACAAAGAGATAGCACCTCACTCCTGTCAGAATGGCTAACATCAAGAAATCAACAAACAAGTGTTGGGTGAGGATGTGGAGAAACGGGAACCCTCATGCACTGTTGGTGGGAATGCAGACTGGTGCAACCACTCTGGGAAGCAGTACCTCTAAAAATGAAAAAATGGGACTGCCTTATGACCAGCAATTCCACCTGTGGGAATATATCCAAAGAAAACTGAAACACTAATTTGAAAGAATATATATATGCACCCCTATGTTTATTGCAGCATTATTTACAATAGCCAAGATTTGGAAGCAGCGCAAGTGTCCATCAGTAGATGAGTGGATAAAAAAGCTGTGGTACAGCCTGGCTGGGGTAGCTCAGTGGTTGAACATCGACCTATGAACCAGGAGGTCATGGGTTGAATCTCAGTTGGGACATATGCCTGGGTTGCAGGCTCAAACCCCAGTTGGGAGCATGCAGGAGGCAGCTGATCAATGATTCTCTCTCATTGATGTTTCTCTCTCTCTCTCCCTCTCCCTTCCTCTCTGAAATCAATAATATATATAATAATAAAAGCGTAACATGCTAATTAGACCACACGACCTTCCAGACGAAGCCAGGGCTGCGAGGGAAGCCCCGGTCCCCGGTGCCAGAGGGAAGCCAATGCCGGCAGCAAGGGGAAGAAAGGCCTACTCTGGCACGAATTTCGTTTATTGGGCCTCTAGCATAAATATAAAAGAAAGGGGGGGAAAAGCTGTGGTACATTTACACAATGGAATACTATTTAGCCATAAAAAAAGAAGGAAATCTTGCCTTTTGTGACAGCATGGATGGGCCTGGAGAGTATTATGCTAAGTGAAATAAACCAGTCAGGGAAAGACAAGTACCATATAATTTCATTTATATGTGGAATCTAATTAACAAAATAAACTAGCAAACAAAGTGGAGACAGACTCATGAATACAATCAACTGGCTGGGGTTGAGTTTGTTAGGGGCTGGGTGAGAAGGATGAAGGAATTAAGCAAAGAAAAAAGAAGAAAGACTCACTCTGTCTGGTGTGGCTCAGTTGGTTGGAGTGTCATCGTGTACACCAAAAGGTGGTGGGTTCAATATTCAGTCAGGGCACATACCCAGGTTGCAGTTCAACCCCTGGGGGCAAGTGCAGGTGGCAACTGATGTTTCTTTCTCTCCCCCTCTTCTCTCTAAAATCAATTTTTTTTAAAAAGCAAACTTTCAATGTGCTTGTACTTTATTTTTTTAAAAAGTAAAGAAAATCCCTAGATGGTTTGGCTCAGTGGATAGAGTGTTGGCCTGCAGACTGAAGGATCCCATGTTCAATTCTGGTCAAGGGCACATGCTCGGATTGTAGGCTCATTTCCCAGTAGGAGGCGTGCAGGAGGCAGCCAATCAATGATTCTCTCATCACTGCTACTTCACTGATATTTCTCTCCCTCTCTGAAGTCAATAAAAATATATTTTAAAAAAAGAAAAAGAAAAGAAAGACTAGTGGACTCAGACAACAGTATGGCAATTGCCAGAGGATAGGGAGGTGGGGGGAGGTGGAAGAAGGTAAAGTGGGGGATAAATGGTGATAGAAGGAGACTTGACTTATGGGGGTAAATACACAATACAATACATAAGTGATGTATTGTAGAATTGTATACCTGATACCTGTATAATTTTATTAACCAACTAGAGGCCCAGTGCATGAAATTTGTGCAGGGTGGGGGAGGATCCCCTCAGCCCAGCCTGCACCCTCCAATCCAGGACCCCTCAGGGGATGACTGGGATCGGGCCTAAACCGGCAGTCGGATATCCCTCTCACAATCCTGGACCCCTGGCTCCTAACCGCTCACCTGCCTGCCTGCCTGATTGCCCCTAACTGCCCCCCCACCCCCGCAAGCCTGATCACCCCTAACCGCCTCTGCCTGCTGGCCTGATCGCCCCTCACTGCCCTCCCTGCTGGCCTGGTCGCCCCTAACTGCCTCTGCCTGCCAGCCTAATTGCCCCCCCCCACCGGCCTTGTTGTCCC